GAAAATTTTTGATTCAATTCCAGTTCCAAATTTTTTGGAACCGAAATCGGCAGTTCTGGAACAGTGGCCATGCCTACATGTACTTAACAACGTGACTTGTCTTTCTCAAAAAAAAAAAAAAAGAAAAAGAAAAAAAAAAGAAAAGAAAGAAAAGCAATGTTGACTTGTGCATTGTGACTCATTGCAATTAGTCGTTATTTAATTTGCCAATTTTTTTAAATTGATTTACATGCATACTAAGTTATTTAAGCCTTTACAATATTACTATATTTTTCTATATATTATTATTTATTTTAAATAAAAATCCTTATATACAAATCTAAACTAACTAAATTAAATTAAAAACTTCTAAATTAATTAATTTTTTTAAATTTTTTTTAACGAAAAAAAAAAAAAAAAAAGAAAAAGAAAAAGAAAAGAAAGAAAGCAATGTGACTTGTGCATTGTGACTCATTGCAATTAGTCGTTATTTAATTTGCAATTTTTAAATGATTTACATGCATACTAAGTTATTTAAGCCTTTACCAATATTTTTACTTATTTTTCTATATATTATTATTTATTTAAATAAAAATCCTTATATACAAATCTAAACTAACTAAATTAAATTAAAACTTCTAAATAATAATTTTTTAAATTTTTTTAACGAAATCAAAAGGAAATTTATCATTATTAAATTTAATATATTTTATTTTCTTGGTAGTGTTAATGTCCGCTTATTTCTATATCTTTTAATGTGCATTGCATTATAGTGTTGTGCTCATGATTTAATTTTTTAGAATATAGATAGAAAAACCACATAAACATAAAACTAATAAACTAACTGAAAAGTTAAAAGAAAAACATTATAGATTATAAAGTTTTATCATAACTAATTATAAAAAATAAAGGAAAATTAATAAACTAATTCAACAATAGGTTTTTCTAAATTTAATAACTATTTTACATTACGAGTTATTTAAATTTAGTTCACATTACTCATATATAATTTCAAAAATAGAACATAAAGATGAAAATAAAATTATACCAAAATGTTTATAAGAAAAATTAAAATTCCTAATGGAGTTAATATAACATCTCAAGCTTAGTAAGATATTGTTCGCTTCGAGCCCAACACACGTGATTTTGTTCTTTGGGTCCTAAGGTCAGGGCTCACTTCTAAGCGTTTCTAAGCCTAAAACGCATCTTGTTAGTCTAAGACTTGTCTATCTTTATAGATTCGCCTAGGGTGTCACAAACACCCTCCTTAGGTAGGTACTCAGCATGAGTTTTCCTTCACCACCAGCCATAAGGACAAGGTTTGGCTTTGATACCAAGTCTGTAACATCCCAAGCCCAATAAGATGTTGCCCGCTTTGGGCTCAACCCGCATGGTTATGTTTCTAGGCCAAAGCCTCATCTTTATGCCCAAAACACGTCTTGCTAGTCTAACGCTTGCTCATCCTTATGTACATTACTTTCACCTTGTGTTTAGCTGATATGAGATTCGCCTAGGGTGTCACAGTTAACATTCTTAATGAGTTAATATTTATAACTAAGTTAATATTTATAGTTAATATGTATCCTTTATTAGCACAATGAAAAATTATTAAAGGCACATCACCATATGGATTAGAACTACCTGCGAACTATTATGATTCATATGGGTTTCTCAGAGTGTTGGGTGAATCTCATTGCTATATGTATTGATTCTATAACTTATTGTGTTTCTTTTAACGTCTCTGCTATATGACCTATTATTCCCATCATGGTTTTCGCTAAGGTTGCATGTTTTCTTCTTATTTGTTTATCTTGTCTGCTGAGGATTTGTCAGCTTTATTGGGGCATGCAATGAGTAATGGAAGTATTCATGGATGTTCTATGGCTTGGGATGCACCTAGTATTACCCACTTATTATTTGCCGATGATGGCTTTTTCTTCTTTCGAGCTAATGAGTAGGAGGCTTTAGGTATTAAAAGGATTTTACAAATTTATGAGGTTCCTTAGGGTCAACTTGCTAATTTGTAAAAGTGTAGGATATTTTTTAGCATAAACATTAATGCTGGAAGATGTGCTTGGATTTCTCAAATCTTGGAAATTTTTAGTCTGCTTGATCATGGTCGGTATTTAGGTTTTCCATCTCCGGTTGGTAGAGATAAAAGAGTTGTGTTTTCTTTTCTTAGGGATTGTATTCGTCTCTTATATGTGGTTGGCAGCAAAAGTTATCATCCCAAGGTGGTAAGATGGTACTTCAAGATGCTATCACGCAAGCATTACCGGCTTATTCTATGAGAGTTTTTCTGCTCACACTCTCTTTGGCTGATGAGTTGCAGAAGATGATGAACTCATTCTGATGGAGTTCAAAGCTTGATGGTAGTCAATCCATCCATTGGCTATTATAAGAAAGCATGTGTCATAGTAAGGTCTCTAGTGGTGTTGGCTTTAGACTCTTTCGTGCTTTTAATTTATCTCTTTTGGCTAAACAAGGTTGGCGACTACTTTTTTCTCCAACCACCCTTCTATTTTCTGTTCTCAAAGTAAAATATTTTTCAAAAGTGGATTTTTTTTACGCGACTGAAGGTTCAAATCCTAGTTTTGTTTGGAAGGATCTTGTTAAAGTTGTTGAGGTTTTAAAGCATGGTGTTCGGTGGTAGATTGGCTCAAGAACCTCTATTAATATGTGGAAATGTCCTTGGTTAGCTAATGATGGTCCATTCTCGGTTAGTTCACCAATGATTTCTAGTTTTAAAGATCTTAAAGTGGCGGGTTTAAAAGATATTGTAGGGCACTGGAACAAATTGATGATAAAGGGTTTGTTTCTTCCTTATGATGTTATCAAGATTCTATCGTTACTTGCATATCACAGGTCTTTAGAAAGACAATATTGTGTGGCATTGGACGACTCATGCTAGATATAATGTCAAGTCAGGATATCAATGTGTTGTCATGGGCTTTCTTTCGCAAGCCAGATATCTTAGGGGGCCTGTATGGAGATGGTTATGGAGTCTGAAGCTTCCTCTTAAGGCCATGAGATTCATATGGTGTGCCTATAAAAATATTGTCCCTAATAATGCTAGACTAGTGGATAAAAATGTTAATATATTACCGACATGTCCTTTGTGCAATGTTGATAAGATCTGTGCCATGCCATCTTCTATTGCTCTCATGTGCATTCATATTAGCTTCTTGATAATGATGTTACTGTGCCATCAAACTATGAATCATTTTATAATGTCTTTATATCACTTTTTTGATATGGGCAATGACGAGTTGGAAAAATTTACCGTGACACCCTAGGTGAATTGTAATCGGTTAAGTATAAGGTGGAAGTGAAGTACATAAGGAAGGGCTGGTCTTAGACTAGTAAGAGGCCTTTTGGGCTATAAGTTGGTTTTAGCCCAGGAACAAACCCGTGCGGGCCTAAATGGGTTCAGCCCAAAGTGGACAATATCTTACTAGGCCTGAGATGCCACATTTGCAATGCTTGCATGGAATATATGGAATGCAAGGAATTATTATATATGGAATCAAAGGTAGTGCTCTCCATACTACATTGTCACATCTTCAAGGCAGATTGATATTGTTCAACAAGGTCATACTGCACCACGAGTCATTTGTAACACCTAGACCTGACTTCTGACTGGAGTTGTTAAGGGCAATTTTTCTGCAGCAATAAAGATACTCTTTTACTATTATATTTCCAAACCAGGATGATTTGTTCCTTATTGCCAAATTTGGTTACTTCCCCGGGATTGTGGTTCCAGTTATAGCAGAATATATTGTTTTGAGAGAGGTTGTCAAATGACTTTCTATGCAAGATCGGGACCAGTGCATATGGAAGTGAATAACCTTAGGTAGCAAATGTTGTTAAGTATGATACCCGGTGGTACCAAATTCAAAGGATTAGCATGTAACTATGCTAGCTTCTATGTTTGGAACAATGCTCCTTCTTTCTTAGAGGAGAATATAGACATAGATTATTCATAAAGCTACTCATTTAAAAAAGCCTATTTTTTCTCACTCTTTCAAGTTGTAAATACCAGAATTCACTTGTCAAATTCTAATCTCTTTAATTATCTATTTAAACAAAAAATTTTAAGAAATATATATCGCACCCTTCCTTCAAAAAATTACCATCCAAAACATTGATTTAAGATGAAATAATTTTTTTTTTTGGATAGCAATATTTGTCTCATTCAAGAAATTATTTAAAAATTAACGATGAAATATAGCAATACTACCCCGTTAATTTACAGAAGAAACCAAATAGACTAAAAAAAAGAATTGCTAACATCAAACACCTTCTATGCAACATATTCTCCATTAGTAAACTAATATAGTCGATTAATTATTATAAATTAAAGCAAATTTAAATTTAAAAATTTAGAAAACTTAAAAACCTGTCTTTGGTGTGATAACCCTTGCTCATATGATGGAACCCCTTGTTCATTTAACATTATATCCAGGTGTGAATGTAGCACGTGCCTAGATGGGCATAATCCAACTGTGTTTTGTAGAATTAAAGAAATGATTCATAACGACGTGTGTTTTAGTGATCTTTGCGTTGACTGTTAGTATACCAACCCTCCTCCTCTTTTAGGCATGGGACTTTTCTAGGCGCATATAGCCGGAATTTTTTTAACTCTTGTAAAAAAATTAAATAAAAATATATGTTGTCAAGTGATATTATATAAAAAATATAAAATTCTTTTGAAAAATACAAAAATAGTTTTAATTCACTTATCAAAAAAATTACTTTTTTTCTCTTTTTACATTAGTAGGTACTAAATTATGTTAAAAAAATTAATTGATATGAAATTGATAGCAAAAAGAGCGGTAAACAGTTCATATAAAGAGCACTGAAACTAACATTCCTTATTTAGAGGAACGAAATGCAAACTCCCAAATTCTTTTTTTGAAAAATCATTTAGATTAGAAGAAAACGACAAAGGAGGATTTCACCAAATCCAATTGTCGCCACATCCCTCATCATCTCCAAGTCAGCCTTCCACCAACCTACCCCCCGCCCCGAGCTTTTATAAGTAAGGCATAAAACTCAACAATAGCCCAATAGGACATACCATAAAAATGGCACCGTAAATGATGATAAACGTTGGATTCAATTTGTTTCGGTTGCAATTTGTCAAACATCCGCGTTGTCCAGCAAACCGTTGACAAAAACCCAAAATCCCTCTTTCTCTCCGTCTTTGAAAGCCTCACTCACTACTCCTTTAGGTGAAAATGCGCTTTCTCCTCTCTTGCATTCTTTAATTTTTTGTTTTTCGGAATTTTTTTTTCCTGTTAATTCTTTGATCTTTCTTTCGCTGTTGTGGATTCTTTTAGTTCTTTTTCTATGTCAAATTTCATTGAGATAACACCTTTTTTAAGTAGCCATATCAGATCTGTATATACTAATTTATTCACCAACTTGAGTTCTGGGTAATAAGTGGATTCTCATTTTCTTGATTCTTTAACAACTGGGATTGTTTGGCACTTGATTTAGTTGTGTTTTGTAACTGGGTTTTTGTTCTAGCTATTGTTTTGTAACATTGAGTCTTATAATTTCTTTATGTTGATTGTGATGCAGATTGGTGCATGCTCTTTTTGTTTCTCTTCGGGTTTTCATAGGCTCCGCTGGACATTCTTCATGAAGATATAGAGGTTTTATTTGCTACAATTTGTTTTCTGGAGCTGTGAAATGAAATGGGTTTAAGTGGAATCTGTCTTTAGTTTAAATGCTGTTGTTTGTAACAGAATTAGGTTCTATTGAATTGTGACTTCTGAGGAGTTGGCAATCATTTTCTAACCTTCTGAGGAGTTGGAATTCATTTTCTAACTCTGGACTTCAAGATGATTGGGAGGAAAAATATGGGGCGAGTATCGCCGTTCTTTTTGGTGCTTTTGTCCTTTGGGTTTTTCTTTGCCACATATAACTTGTTAATATTCGTAATGCATAATAGCTCAAATTCAGGAGATGAATTGGAGTTATCTGATCCCATTACAAGGATGCCTGAAGAAGTGAAGAGATTAGGGAATTCAAATTCAAGATACCATGTTGCCCTTACAGCTACTGATGCTCCTTATAGCCAGTGGCAATGCCGGATTATGTTCTATTGGTATAAGAAGATGAAAGATGAGCCTGGATCAGACATGGGAAAGTTCACTCGAATTCTCCATTCTGGAAAAGCTGACCAATTGATGGATGAGATTCCAACCTTTGTTGTTGATCCTCTTCCAGAGGGGCTAGATCGGGTTAGTCTTCTTATGATCAGTTTTTCAGTTTCTCAGTTTCTCATATTTACATTTAAATGCCATATATTGATAACAAAATAATGCGAGTTAGAATTTATGTGTATCATTCTCACTTCTGTGATTTTTATTTTGCTCATAAGCTCATTTATCCATTAATATGATTTTAACTGTCATATGGCTACGAATTGATTGTATGAATTGAATGAACTATAATGGCTAGTCCCAACAGCAGCAAAAAAGTCATATTTGAATGAACGATAATAGATTGCTGGCTTAAAGCAAATCGATATGTTAATCCCGCATCTTCCTTTTATTTCTTGCAATTCCAAGTTTCTCACTGTACACCTTAGATCGCTAATGTCCATTAAGGGAAGTTGGAACTCAATATCAAAGTACTTCCAACATTTGCATTTTGTTCCCATTGAAAATTTTGTCAAAGATTCCAAGAAGTTAATATTGGAGGGTCTACAAAGCACTAGATTATGGCTAGCCTTAGCAGTAATATCACTGGAGTTTAAGATATTGAGAGTTATATTTTGCATTTTTCCTTAAGATTTCCTCTTTATGTTGCAGGACTACTTTTTTTACTTTATGATTTACATTATAAATTTTTCTGCCATAAGTACTTTTATTTTTTGGAGCGATATTATTTGTTTTGCAATATTATTGTATACCAAAGATTCACATGATTTAAGTTACGCTATTTAAAAAATGATGAGAAGCTCATCTGCTCAAAAGGTGCAATAACATGAGTATGAAAAAGTAATTGAATTAAGAAGGAATCACTGTTTAAATTAAACATATATATGTTTTGATGCATCTAGCTTTACTTACAGAACCACCAAAAGTTGAGAAGCATACACATATCATTTTTTCTACGTTGAAGTTGACCAAAGGATATTAGACAGCTTAAATTCTGCCACATCCTTTTTGCTACCCTTCTGTTTCTCTATCTTTTTGCAGAAAGCAGTCACTGCTCCTAAGTTTATTGCTATTAGATAGTTTGTTAATCATTCTGATGCAGTAGTTCATGTTGTATCCAGGGTTATATTGTCTTAAACAGACCATGGGCTTTTGTGCAATGGCTGGAAAAAGCAACAATTGATGAAGAGTGAGATTCTAAACTCACTACCTTTATGCTCCGTTTGTTTCCATAAAATAATTTACTTGGAAAAGTTTTGTTGGATTTTTTTATATTTAGGATATTTATGAAAATAGTCAACGGAAAATATTTTCTTGGTCAAAAGGAAAACCAAGTCATTTTAAAGGAAAATGAATTTTTCTTTTTGAAAGAAGAAAACATTTTTCAAATATTGATAAACTTACTATAATCTTATAAACACACATTTATTAATCTATTGATCACTAGTGGTCACCATTATCAATCATTGCAAATCAACATTAGTTACCAACCACCACCAAGTCATTGGCCATTTGTCATTTTATCATTTTTTTTTTTCATATTTAACAATAAATTTTAAAATATGAAAACTATAATGCTAAATATTTTTGGTCAATAAATTAATATTTTGTTAATATTTTTGGACTAATTTTCAATATTGCAACCGAACAACAAAAATGAGTTGTTTGAGAAGTATTAATATTGCAACCAAACAACAAAAATGAGTTGTTTGAGAAGTATTTTATAAGAAAACATTTTTGTTGGAAATATTTTCTAAAAGTAAGTTATTTTTTGGAAACAAACGGAGTTTTAGTATTATTATTATTTTTATTATTATGGTCATTATCTTTTGTGTGTTTTATGTTTTTCTTACTACTTGTTTATGACATTTGAATGTTAAATCATTTATAACTTATGCAGGTATGTTTTGATGGCTGAGCCTGACCACATATTTGTAAATCCTTTGCCTAACTTGGCACATGGAGAACATCCAGCTGGGTATCCATTTTTCTACATTAAGCCAACTGAACATGAAAAAATTATTAGAAAATTTTATCCGGAACAACAGGGCCCTGTGACAAATGTTGATCCAATTGGCAACTCTCCTGTGATTATAAAAAAGGTAGAACTTTTGTTGCTATTACATTATAGTCCATTCAATTTTCATTCATCAGAAGCTCAAAAAGAATTGGAAAAATAAAAGTAAAGAAAGAGAGAAAATTTCAAAGGCGGAATCAAGGAGGTGGAGATGATTGTTTATAAAGAATTGCTTCCTTCTCCTCATTGATGTGTCACTCTTGTTTTTCCTGTTGAAATGTTTGATTTCACCAGGGACAATATTGATTTATTAACATGTGAACTAAACTATCTATTCCAGTCCCTACTGGAGGAAATTTCACCAACATGGGTGAATATCTCATTGAGAATGAAAGATGATCCAGAGACTGATAAGGCATTTGGTTGGGTGCTAGAAATGTGAGTAATATTTTAGATCACTTCTTTTTTATTGAGAAATGTTGATCTTGAATGGCTGAAATATGCTTCCCCATTTCTGATATGTCTTTGTTGTACTAAGGTATGCATACGCTGTAGCATCAGCATTGCATGGTGTTCGGCATATACTTCGGAAGGACTTCATGATACAGGTATCCATGATACTCAATTCTTGTTTAATTTTGCTATTTACATTGAATTATTACATAATGTTGTGTATTTTTCAGCCACCATGGGATCTGGAAGTTGGAAAGAGGTTTATCATTCACTATACTTATGGATGTGACTATGATCTCAAGGTAAATTTTTTTTTTTTTTGCTTGATTGCTTTTGTTTGAAAATTTTGACAAGATTAATTACTGTTAAACTTAGCCAACCTTTCATTCTGTTTATTGCAATTCGGTTGTCACCCAGGGAAAACTAACATATGGAACAATTGGAGAATGGCGATTCGATAAGAGATCCTATCTAAGTGGTCCTCCGCCAAAGAACCTGTCCTTACCCCCACCAGGAGTTCCTGAAAGTGTGGTATGTCTATTTAGTATATTTCTTTCTTTAAGGACCTTTTGCGAAATCAAAATTTGGAGACATTTGAAACTAAATTATATTTAATGGGTGAACTTAGTAAGTATAACTTGAACCAGGAATACTCCCAGCCCTAGTGGTGAGCAATTCTCAGTTTCTAACCGAGAACCAAACCACACTGACCATTATCCTAATCATTCAATCCTTTTTCGTACATGTTTAACCTTTCCACAGTTCTTCGTGAATATAAAGCAAAACACTAGGTTTGTCTCGTTCAAATTCAGTTGCAAAATTACTTGTGGGAATTAATTGATGTCCAATAAATGCAGCAGTTTCTTTTGTTTTTTTTTTTTTCCGTTCTTTTCCTCCTTTTTTTATTCCACAACATCATCAGAAACCATTTTGGAATGTTATCTTGCATATGCAGTGTCATTTCTCATTAGTCAGCCAGTGTATGTAAACTAAATAAACTCATTATACATTTAGTTTGGTGTGCTAAATAATGTCAAATTTCACCCAGATTTGGTTTGCTGTGCCAAAGATGAGGATTCTGTGATTTAGTTGCCATTTATAGTAACTAGTGTGTTGCCTGCTGATAAAGTGACACTTGAGCAATATGTTCTTGTCTGAACTATGATTCTTTAATAATACTATATTTTCCCACTTTCTTGAAACTAAAATCATAATTTGAAGATAACATATGGGCTTTCTCTCCCTCTTTGAATGAATTTATGTGCAGGTGAGACTTGTAAAGATGGTAAATGAAGCTACTGCTAATATTCCAGGTTGGGATCCAATAAACAGCGGTTGAAATTGAATTTTGGATTATAAATTCGTTGATCCTTTGTTCAGTATGACGCATCCTTGTGAAGAAGATTCATTGATACCATTTACACAGTAAAAGAAGAGTGGTATAGATAGAAAAATAGGAAAGTTGTTGAAAGATTATAGGAGGGATTTTGACATTTTTTAATCATGGAGACCTCTGAATTCTTTTTGTACACATTTGCTACGTTTGAAATTAGTGTTGAATCTTGTATCTTCCAATGTTTTAGACCTGTAAATGGAAAATTCTCTGCTGTCAAGGTTTGTAGTACTATCAGCATTTTGCAGTTCATTATGTGGATTATGAGGAATTTTTACTAGTAAATTTCTCGCCGGTTGACTAGAGATGCTCATAGATCTGATTTGGATCAAATTTTACAATATCCGATCCAGTAATAAAAAAATAATATCCATCAGGCATCCACATGGGATTAAATGGAATTGGGTCATGTTGGGTTAATATTCATAAAATCACTAAAAAGAGCCTATTTTTATATAAAAAGGAAAATTAATCGGGTTAGATTCATATTTTCCCAAGTTGGATTGATAAGTCTGTATACTTGCTCCATTTGTAAATGAATCGGGTTGAAATGGACATCTCACGTTGACTTAGAATAGAGGTTTCTCAGAGGTGCAATTGAGTCTAGTCGAGTTAGGGGAGCTATGATACCATTTACACAGTAAAAGAAGAGTGGTATAGATAGAAAAATAGGAAAGTTGTTGAAAGATTATAGGAGGGATTTTGACATTTTTTAATCATGGAGACCTCTGAATTCTTTTTGTACACATTTGCTACGTTTGAAATTAGTGTTGAATCTTGTATCTTCCAATGTTTTAGACCTGTAAATGGAAAATTCTCTGCTGTCAAGGTTTGTAGTACTATCAGCATTTTGCAGTTCATTATGTGGATTATGAGGAATTTTTACTAGTAAATTTCTCGCCGGTTGACTAGAGATGCTCATAGATCTGATTTGGATCAAATTTTACAATATCCGATCCAGTAATAAAAAAATAATATCCATCAGGCATCCACATGGGATTAAATGGAATTGGGTCATGTTGGGTTAATATTCATAAAATCACTAAAAAGAGCCTATTTTTATATAAAAAGGAAAATTAATCGGGTTAGATTCATATTTTCCCAAGTTGGATTGATAAGTCTGTATACTTGCTCCATTTGTAAATGAATCGGGTTGAAATGGACATCTCACGTTGACTTAGAATAGAGGTTTCTCAGAGGTGCAATTGAGTCTAGTCGAGTTAGGGGAGCTAGGGGTGAGCAAATGGTTGGTTCAGTTTAAACCGAACTAAGGCAAAATATATATATATATATAAACTGAAATTTTTGGACAACAAACCGAATCAAATCAGAATTAGTATCTGAAGTAAACATATCGAATCGATCGGTTCGATCAGTTATGGTTGATTTTTGCCGTATTAATTCGGTTTTAAATCCAATCAATAAATTTCTATAAAACCGACTCGAAGCAAACAACATATTTGGTTCAAATCAAAAACCGAACTTCCCTTCACTAACTGATTGAATCAAACTGAATTGGATTGGTTCGGTGTTTAGTTCGATTCCAAAGGTGGTTTTGCACACCCCTAGTCGTCTCAATTAGAAAATTTGAGAATAAACTCTTAATCTGAATTTGATCATTTACTTGTGGCGTTCTCCTTGTTAAGATTGATTCAGTATTAAAGCACTGCCATTACCAGTAAATATGGAGATGACATTATTTGTTTCTTCTCTTTTACTTTCTATTTTCTGTGCTTACATATGATGACTGATGTATACTAACATAAAATTTTTCTATGGGTTATTGATGGTTGGTTTAGATGATCTGGTAGTAAGAGATGGCCTCATTTTAACAATTTGTTGTTCATCGACTCCCATTTTTTTCGCATAAAGTCCAGCCTCAAAGAAACGTTTCACAGCGTCCTCCATATATGCATTTCCTTCCTTCACTGTCATTTGTTTCCCTATATTCTGAGGGTAACTTGTCAATATGTGATCTCCTTTTAGCACTGCTGCTAGCTGCATTAGCTCTTGCTGGAATTCACTAAGCTTTGCATTTTCATTGGCGTCCCCTTTTCTGATCTTCGATGGAGTTGGTAGTTGCACTATCAAGATGGGAAAATTTATCAACACAAAATGAAAATCTTGATAATATTCTAGAACTAGATGAAAATCTTACGTTGTTTTAGAAGAAAATCGTTTTCTGGAAAATAAATGTTTTTACTATTTGGAGAAAGACGTAATATTCAGATTTTGAACTAACCAGGGCAATCAGTTCTGGGCTCAGTCCGTTTCTGAATAATGGATTCGAAGGTGGCAGCCCATTCGTCCCTTTTAGTCAGGAAAGGAGAGGACAGGTTGAAGAGCTTCTTCACTGTCGCCGGAATCGATGAATGCTCATATTCCGATGTCGGAAATGGTGATCCATTTGAGCCGTGAACAACTGCATAATTACCATTATTAATATATACTAGTCTTTTCTACCACATTATATTGCGTCTTGACAATACTCGTTATATTCTATTTTTTATATTTTTTTAATTTTTTTATTTATATAATATTAAAGCATAAGTTTTTATTTAGATTAAAATAAATACAATTGGTTAATTTGTATTTACTCGTGGTATATTCTACTTTGTTTTATAGTTTTATTTGATATTTTTTTTATTTATAGTAAGTATGGTAAAAGGCATAAAGTTTTTAATTTAGAGTTAAAAATAAATACAATTGGGTTTAATTTTTTTATTTATATAATATTAAAGCATAAGTTTTTATTTAGATTAAAATAAATACAATTGGTTAATTTGTATTAAACTTTGATATATAAGCTATTTATAATACTATTTCTTATTTACTTGATTCTAATTTTACATAATGAAGTGATATCAAAATAAAGTTCAATCCAATTCCTATACCTAATCATTCAATCTTTAATTTATAAATGCATATTCTTAAAACTCTGATAGATGCCCAAAAATAAAATCAAGTCATCACTCAATCCTCAACCCTTTGCACTCAATTTCAAATCAATATTTATATACCGTCTATAATGAAAGTAATAATGAATTATTTTTTACTTGTAGGTAAAAGAAAAGAAATGAGAAGATAATTTGAAATAATAATAGTAGTCATTTTGGCTATAGTAATAGTATTACTTACCCAGTGCATTAGAGAAATGAATATATGAACATACACAAAAATTCTTGAAAAAAAAGAGTATACTTTCTTATTATTATTATCTATGTATATTTTATTCAAAAAATAACTTTTAAAAATTATATCTAATCAAATAATAAAATAGAATTTTTCTTTTTTCTTAACCACATGTATCCCGAGCCAATTGGACTAGATCTAAGTCCTGCTCGTACTAGATCAACCCACGAAAGAGTAAAGTGCTCTAAGTAAGTATTTGTTTAAACCATGAGGATCGAATTCTTGACTTCAGTTTAGAGAGAAGAGTGTTAAACTACTCATCCAGACACTCGTTGGTATAAAATATAATTTTCGAATTGACTACAACTAAGGCTATTTTAGGATATTCCAAATTTTATTAAGGACGATATCAAAAATCTCATTATTTCCCCCATTCCCACATTTATATATAGTATAAATATATCTCTAATTGAAATTTCTTTGACGTCCCCTAAAAAAAATTGTAAATTTATCTAAGTTACAATAAATTATTGAGTAAATTGACCATGTTACCTTTAATTTAATATTAATTCTCTAAAAAATCATTAAATTGAAATTATTGAGGTAAATTTGGACCATGTTACCTTTAATTTAATATTAATTTCTCCCTAAAAAATCATTAAATTGAGAGTAAATAATTGTTTGGTTCATGTCAAAGGGTAAGACACGGGAAAAATAAATTTTGTTACTCCGTGAAACCACAAATGTGATACAAGTAATTATCTAAGTTACAATAAATTATTGAGTAAATTGACCATGTTACCTTTAATTTAATATTAATTCTCTAAAAAATCATTAAATTGAAGTAATAATTGTTGGTCATGTACAAAGGGTAAACACGGAAAAAAAATTTTGTTACTCCTTGAAACCACAAATGTAACAAGTATTTTAAAATGAACTAATTTTTCAAATGTGATAAGTATTATGAAAAAGAGGTAGTAATTAGGCAAATCAGTTCTATCAATTATCCAAAATTCAAAAAAGGAAAAAAAGATTTACTATAGTACTTTTAATGTTTAATTAATAATAAGACCTACAATTTTTAGAGTTCTACGAATTTTATCAGTTTGATCCCCTACTCTAAAGACTCTAAACTGCCAATGTAGGTTCATTTTACTCTAAGTTCAGCCACATTTGGTTCGAATTAACAATTTCCTGGGAAGTTCACTTCCAGAGAAATATAATTATAAAAAAGTTACTTCTAAGGAAGTATACCCTGATTGTATTTAGGGTATCAAAATGGATTATTGACACGGGAACACAATTCGCCTAATATAGAAATTAAACGAGTTAGGATTGAGTTTAAATAGATTCATGTGGGAAACAAATCACCCGTATATCACACGAGTTTAAATAGATCCCGTTTATTTAAACATAAAAATATAATTTCATATAAAATATGTATATTAAGTGAGTTATGGGGGTTAACGTGTTACGCATGTCGTGTTCTGACTCGTATACAATCCATTCAATTAAATTTGGTTAAATTTTTTACTCATATATCACTCATTTAATTAAACGGGTTACACGTGTCGTGTTTGTGTCACTTGTTTAATTTTCGTGTCATAATCATGTCACTCATTTAATTTTGTATCATGATCGTGTTTAAATATACAACACAACTATTAAATGGGTCGTGTTCGTGCTGACTCTAATTGTATCGTGTGTTAGGCGAATTTGTGTCGAACCTGACATGCCAACACATTTTAACATCTCACGCATAATAATTAACTAGTCATGTACCTACGCAACGCATGGATTATATATTTTTCTGTCTTTTAATTAAATTGAACGTAATTTTCAAAAAAATTATTGTAGTTTATATTTGTGTTGCTTTAATTTGAATAAAAACTATTTAATAAAAAACTTAATATTTATTAAATAGAAATATATATTAATTATAATGAAATCCTCCATCATTACATTTATTAGTTTATAACTCCATTATTTAATCAAAATTAATTTTTATTAAAAATTAAAAAATATTAATTATAATAGAAAAATAAAATGTCATATCATCACTTCTATCATATCATCACTTCTATATTCTAATATGTTACCACAAAAGCATTTATACCTTAGAAATTATATATTTATATAAACAGATAGATATTATTTGATTTTTTTTTAAAAATGTCGTGTAAATAGAAAAAAATGTCAAATCTAATTAAACAGAGGTAATTATTATTTATAACATTGTTTATTTTAATAAACTTTACTTTTATATACATGTATAACAAATAATGGTGTTAAGATGAATTTGATTTTGAAAATGATACATGTATAGAATTAATAAGCAACAATACACTAAGTTTGTATTGCACCCTATTTTTGACTGAAAATGAAATTAATTACACTTTATAATTGAAATTAAAGGAAAAATGGAGTGCAATTTCATTGACATGTAAAGTTCAAAGTATTTTCCACCCTAATTAATTAATTGTAATCTATAATACATACATACTTCCTTTACAAAATTATGCCAAATACATAAATTCACCCCTTAACTTTATAATTTTAACTTTGTGATATCCTGAACTTTGTGAATAACCTATTATGCATTTGAACTTGCAAATTTTGATAACATTGCACCTTTACATAATAATAGCAATAATTTTTAAGATATTTATATGCAAAATATTGATTTGATGTGTAGTTAACGTAACTTTTGGAATAATAATTTTCATATTTTTTAACTATGCAATAAGTATTTAATTGATCTAATTTTTCAAGTTGAAATATTTAATATGTCAAAATAAAAATCGAGGAGTTGAAATAACGAAGCTCAAGGATGAACTTATATAGTCAATCAAAAATTATAGTCTAAGTTCTTTTTTTTTTTCCACACAATTTAAGAATAATTACTTAAATTAATTTAACTATAACTTTTCTTTATTTCTATATATATATATATATATAGACCCTAAAAATTGTATATTAATAATTTATTGATGATTTAATTTTTGGAATTGATTATGAAAACTTCTCATGAAGACCAACATTTTAAAATTTATTTAATTGATCTAATTTTTCAAGTTGAAATATTTAATATGTCAAAATAAAAATCGAGGAGTTGAAATAACGAAGCTCAAGGATGAACTTATATAGTCAATCAAAAATTATAGTCTAAGTTCTTTTTTTTTTTCCACACAATTTAAGAATAATTACTTAAATTAATTTAACTATAACTTTTCTTTATTTCTATATATATATATATATATAGACCCTAAAAATTGTATATTAATAATTTATTGATGATTTAATTTTTGGAATTGATTATGAAAACTTCTCATGAAGACCAACATTTTAAAATTTCAAAATTAATTATAGTAAAACGTTTTTCCCCACTATCTAGCAAATTTAAATAATACTCCCTCCGTTCTTTTTATATAGGAACAACTAATTTTTCACCAAAATTAAGAAAGTAGTTTAACAAACTTTTTTTGCCCTTTTTTTTCTTAATTCATCCCGAATATCTCATTTATTCCTTCTCTAATATCAATACATGCCTTAAATTATGTTTTGATCTTCAATGATGCTTTAAATGCTTTGTTGGAGATAAAAATAAAGATAGTTGCAAAAAATAAAGTGTATGTTCTGACTTGTGGAAAAAATTTTATTTTTTTTAGTCATTTATTTAGGAAAGTTGTGTGAAATTTTTTAATTTGTACTCATTTAATTTTCCAACTGCTTTTGACTATTGAAAACATAGTTTAAATAACATGCAATTTTTCAAATATTCGAGCGAAATCCATAAGGATTCCTTTCATTATGATCCATCTAAAAATTTTATAGCCATTTTCTATTTAATCTCCATTTTAACCAACAATCAAATCACTTATATGAGTTTTTTTTAACGAAAATTAATGTAAGAAATTAATTCTCCAAAATTTATTCATATTAAATGTTCATCTATTTATTTGTCTGCCACTATCTTGAGAATCTCTCATATTAAAAGCTTCACAAAGGTCTAAAACTAGGTAAGATAAACTTTTCAAATTGACATGATTTCCAAAGTTACTAAATTAGGTAAAATTTCATATATAAAAAGAACACAAAAAAATAAAAACTTTCTATATAAAAAAAGAACGGAGGGAGTATTAATTATTTACAAGATTATTAAATAAGGGTATCGTAGGAAAATGAAAAACAAAACTCATTTTCTTTTTCTCTTGATTTATCCTTTTTGGTACCTTTGCGGTGCTTTATCAACATGAGATAGGAGAATCTCTCTCCCTTATTTTTACTTTTGAGTGCCAACCATGTTAGCTTTTGGCAATATTCAAAGTCACTTACCCCTTTATTTCCAATTTTCAAAGTTTATGTTCTAAAAGAAAAAGCCTATTGTCCTAACCAACCCATTTATTTCCTCACAATAAGCAATGCATAGTTGGTTGGGAAAAAGGACAAAAGAGACCAAAAAATTGCCACTTTTTGGCTGGTATTTATTGGTTGAGCCTACTTCCTACAGAAGAACATTTCACATCACACATTTGACAATTTCAATAAGATAACATAATAATTTAAAAGGTTTCACATTCTCTTCTTTTCAAAAAAGCAATGTGTAAAGGATTATAACCCCATACATAAATTAACTTCTTTTGTTTTATTCTTACTAGTATTATTCTTTTCAGATAAACTAATAACTTATCTTAGAGGTTATCTTCTAAACTATATGTAAAAAGTATATATAACACAAATAATTTTTCTCTTTGAAAAAAATACTCATTAAATTACTTATAAATTAATGGAAGAGTCTGTTCAGTAAAATTAGTTATTTTAATAATTATTGACTATTTCAATGGCATTATTAGCTGTTTTAGTAGCTTATCATAAAACGTTACAAGCTAAATGTTATATGAGCTAACATTTTATAAAATAATATCTCAACCTCTGAAAGCTAGTTCAAACGTCATGTTACCGAATATTATAAAAAATAGAATTTACTAAAAAAATTATTGTCGAACACAACCAAAGTTTATATAACAGAGAGTACTTCAATTTAATAGTGTTAATTTACTCCTTATATTTATAAGAAGTGAAAAAATCAATCAAATTACATCTGATTTAATTTTTAATATAACTCTAATTACATGTGTTGTAGCCATTTTGAGGCACATGAGATGGGCCTATTATTTTTTTTTTTTTTTTTTAAATGAGAATATATGGGTATGTTCACATTACATAGGGGTTCAATTATATAACCTATGTAATGGGATCCACTTCTATAAATAGGACAATCCATACTCACACCTCATTTAATAATTTTTTAAAAAAATGAGCAGGATAATTTATTATTTAGTTACTCAATTAATTAAGACTTACATTTTAAAAATTAATTTAAGAGTCCATATATTTTAATTCTGTATAACTCATCCTTCTATTAAAGTCCGTACCAATTATTCTTATTTTATTACATTTTTGTATTACATTATGATGGTAAGTGCATATTCAACCTTAACAGTAGATCTAAGTTCAAATCCCCTTTCTCTCCCTCTTCCCCAAAGTGTTCCTGTTGATTAAAGCTTCTACTTTCAAGTAATACTAGTATCTAATGTTATGTTTAATAATGAATTACAATTCAGTGAGATTGAAATTATTTATGGATCAAATTAAAAAATAAATATTTTTGTTATAATTTTTTTTTATTTTAAAAAAATTAGCCCTATTAGTTTATTGGAGAATAACTCTGCCTGTGTGAGCCCGATAGAACATATCCCCCAAATCGAGTAAAGAAGAAGGGTTATAGTAAGTTGATGACTAAACTAAACTAAAATATTCAGAGTCCTAACATGTCACGGTCTGTGGATTCAATTCATTAATGGTGGATGATGTTAAAATAAGAAGAAGTGGATCTTGTATCATATGGAGAGACATGTTGTACCAAAATATCTTCTACTTCTTGACATTAGTTCAGTCTTAGTTATGAACGTAGCCGAATAGAAACAAAAGATTCAAAAGGAATTCTATGTGTTGTGGCTCAATTGGCAACACAGGTTAGATATATAAGAAGAGCTTTCAAGTTCGATATCCACTAAACACACATGTAAGGAGAGGTGAAGAATATTAACTGTAACTAAGCCCCTAGCTAAATTAGTCGGTCCCTGCTAATGATGATTTACACAAAAAAAAAAATAAAAAAAAATTCAAAAAGGAAGATGTCCATCCGGTACCACATAGAGACAAATTGTCATTAGTATAAACTTAATTATGAAGGAACAAAAATAAAGAATGTATAAAATTCACTCCAGCTGGTTTACAATTAAGAGGGCTTAATTATTGTTATAGTAGTTTATGAGAGAATACTCCAAGTATGAGTTTAAAAAAAAAAAAAAAAATTACGTCCTAAAGGTCAAAACCGGACAATATATATATATAAAAAAAAAATATCTCTCAAAATCTAAAAGCTCTATTTTCTTCTTCTACAGTAACCGGTGATCTCTCATTGGTAGTCCCTTTCCCTTTTCTATTTATTTTTTTTAAATAATTCTTATATTTGTATATAAATCTTTGTTATTCTCGTCCAAATATTGATATTTACTGTTGCTCGAGATTTAGTTCTAAGTTACCATTGTCACCATGGTGATTTTATCTAGGACTTTTTATTATTTGAATAGTTATACAGAAAGAACTGTAGGTCTCTTCTCTAATAGAAGGAAAAAATTTTAAGGTAATCAGATCGCACTCGTAGAAAGACCATGGAATTGAACGATGGTCATGAATAGCCATTCATTAGAGTAAGTGATTGCTTATGACATAAATATTTTGCTCTGTCAACTTAATCAAAAACTTTAAATCAAATTTTTTTTAATTATTTATATACGTAACTTATCTATATCATATTTATATACAGTTTTCTCTTAATAAAATCCTAATTTGATTTCTTTTAAAAAAACCGATAATATATTCCCATGAACGAAATTGTAGAAGAGATAAGGCCAAAAAAGAAAGAGTTGGAATGAAAGGGAAATAGCACTTACCAGTGGCCTTCTCTATCCAAGGCGAGACCACGATGGTGGGAACCCTAACACCCAATCGATCAAACTTGAAAAGAAATGGTTCTGGGCCCACTATCCCATCTGGGCTCGGTACTCCACTCACAGGTGTCGCCACATGATCGTAGAACCCTCCATGCTCATCATATGTTATCACCAACAGAGTTTCATTCCACTGTGGGCTAGCCCTTAGTGTCTCGTACACCTGCAACCAGTTTCTTTCAATCAAGCTGCTTGTACATTTTTGTATATGTAAAATTAAAATTCAAAATCTTTCCCTTCAAGATTTCAATATATATATAAAATTTAAGGACCCATTGGTACTTTTAACTGTAATAAAATTGTTAATCATTAACAAAAATTAAACTTTATTATGCAGGATTTAACTCATGGAAAAACAATTAATAAGAGGGAAAGATACAAACTTCAAAATGAGATTCATCTCATGCTCAAAAGATTAGAAGACACACAAAAAATAAAAATATAAATACAATCAAAATTGAAATCTAGCAATTAAATGTGGTCTAGTATTCTCAAAAGCTTTTTAGAAGATATCAGAGTAAAAAGTCTCGGGTTTAATTCATATTCACTAAACGAACGCACATGGAAATATAAATAAAATCAAAATTTCACGTCATGTAAAAGACGTAGGAGTGAGAAATCTCAAATTCAAATTCTATTCACCGAGAGGGACATATAAAGAAATGAAAGGGGCCCTGGCCCCACTATAAAAACAAATTGATAAAAAAAATTTTTGTTTGGCCTCTTTATTAATCAAATTATAGTTTTAAGGTTCATCATTGATCTTCACCGTAAAAATTATCACTAATTTAGTGAACGTTTAAGTTACTCATTAAAAAAAATCTTAAAATACTCTTCTCAAATATATTCCTAATATAGTAATAATATGTTTTCATAAAAAAAAGAAAAAAAAAAAAGAGAAGTGGCAAGGTTAAGAAAAAACACCTCCTTGACAAACATCTGGCCTTGATAGACATCATGGGAAGGATGATCATCATTAGCAGGCTTTAGCTTAGTGTCCATGTACCGCTGCTCCACAACAGCATATCCAGGAAGCTTCCCTTGTTGTGCATGTTTTTTAAAGGTCGAATCGTAAGAATGAAAATTACCAATGTACTTTATCTTCCTTAGGTTCCTATAGAACAATGTAGCCGGAATATTCTGATAGTATATTCCCCATGATATTCCCGCGTCATCGAGGTTCTCAAAAATAGTTCTTTGAGGGTAACCTTTGATGAGTAATGCCGGAATGTTGCTGGTGGCTCCGGCGGAAGTGCCGGAGTGCACATATAGCCGGTTGGGTTGTGTAGATGCTGGAACGGATGCAAACCACCTATCAAACAATTAATACTTTATGGTAAAAAGACGCAGAAAAATTAAATTATTCAAAATATTAATTATTAAAATGTAAAGTACACGTGTATTTCTTTAAAAGAGTAGCCTACACGTGTATTTCTTTAAACCAGCTTATTAGTACATTTGTAATATTATATATATTTTATCTTTTTTGTTTTCATCATGATACCTATTTCAATTATTTATTTGGACATCCAATGGATTAAAAAATAACAAGATGCACAACAAAAATAATTTTGGTAATCTCCTTTCTTTCGATATATGATAAAAACTCTCGTGTAGTTAAAAGAATTCGTGTAGTTAAAAGAATTCAAACTCGAAAATTTTTCTTTTATTGAATGAATACATTCATGTAATTAAGAGAATTAACTCAAATTTAAAACCTGTGAGCAAGAATTTAAAAAATTCTTTATCAACACTAAACTAAATATTAAATATTAAATTATGGAAAATTTTACAATTAATTTAATTAATTGATATAAAACTTCAATTAAAATAGAAACAAAAATTAAAAAAAATACTAAAAAAAAATTAGAAAAAGATAATAAAGAATAAAATAATAAACAAAAAATAAAGGTCAATGTACATAAAACTGTTATCTACCTTATTAATTAAGATTTAATTTTTGGAGTCAGAATAGAAAAAGTAAGGTGCAGAAACGTTTGAAAAAAGAAAAGAAAAGAAAAGAAAATCAAATTTTGGTAGAAACTGAACTCACTTAATGCAAGTAATGGACAAACATGCATCTTATCAAGAAGGAGATAAGAAGAAGAAGAATTCACATACCTAAAATTAAAATAGAAAAAATGAAATAGATACTAAATAAAACAAAGAGAACAAAAAGAAATTCATTCTATCCAAAGGCAAACTGCCAAAAATAATCCAAGTCCCTTAAATGAAATATAAAAAATTTCCCAATACAGAGAAATTCAAATTAAAAAAAAAAAATAGTAATTACCTGTCAAACACAGCAAATTCTGATACCAAAGTCTTATAAACAGCTACCATATCAGGATCAAACCCATTCATAACATCTTTGGACATATTAGTAGATGGGTCCATAGACAAAGCTTGTTGAGCAAACCCATTCATCAATGGAGGTTTCTTTGTATCATTTGACCCAAATATTTGCTCTCTGATTGCCTGAAATGAATGGCCAGGATCAGGATCCACAAACTCAGCTTCCTCTTTAAAATATATCTTCTCTGAATTTACATCACTTGTGTTCAGTGGGTTCCACTCTCTCCCGTCAACACCATTGATTTCTGGGTTCAGCTTCTTCATCCAACCTAACATATGATCGAACGATCTATTTTCCATTACAAGTACAACTATGGTTTTTATCGGGCTTGCATGGGTTTGGTCATGGGGAAGGATTATGAGGAAGAGAAGGAATAAGAAAGAAGAAGTTGCAGCTTTTTTTGTCGCCATTTTTTATTTTATTGCATGAGAGGAGGAGTGATAATTTCTATGTTGAAGCTAGGAATTGTATGCCCGTGAATGAGCATTTATACAGTGAGGTCAGTTTAGGGTGCTTTCGTTGTCTTTTTATGACATATACAGATATTTATTTCCGTATTCAGAGATAAGATTTATGACAAATGACAATATATTATTCTCGTTAGTAAATTGGTACCAAAAACATAAATAAATAAATTACTTTTTAATTGCTCATTTTTACAAATACATTATTATTCATCGTTAAATTATTTAATCTTTTTACGTAAAAAATTTTATTTTAATCATTAAAATACTTATTAAAAGATAAAAAAAATTAACTCCCCATTAATATGTACCTAGACAATGAAAAATCTACACCTTTTTATTTCTAGCCCCTCCTTCTGCTATTAGTTTTTGATTTCAAATAAATGAATGCTGGATAGAAAATTTACTTATAGATGAATTTCTCTTGTTTAGTATGTTAAATAAGAATTTTTATTTTTATTTTTGGGTAAAATAAGGAATTTTATAAAATTATATTTAGAATATATTTTTAAATAAAATTCGTTTGTTTTTATTTCCTAAAATATCACATTGTGCATAATAATTTAACAAAAACAAATAACAAACACCAATATAATAACTTGTTGTTTTTTGTTGAAATATAAATAATAAATTTCATGTAAATAAATATCACTCACATTCCCCCCTAATTAATTAATTAATTAATTAATTATTAATTTTACTTATTATTATATATATAGTAACATTTACCATAATAGTTATCTTTAGTTGGTGTAAAAATCTTGTTCATCTAACTAATTAATTTGGAAACTACAAAAATATTTAAGAAGATTATTGGTGCTTTTAATTATATTTGGAAATATTTAAGAAGTTTATTATAATTTCAAATTGTATTTGGAAACAATATATCAAGATAATAATAAATAATAGCCAAGCAAAATAAAGACAAATAATAAATAATATTTTTATTTCCCTTTTATTCATAATTTTCTTATATGATACTAACTAAAATACTAAAAAATTTTGTTTTTATTTACTAATAAGTATTATATAATATATACACTATGGCTTGATGTGATTATTCTAAATACAATTGAAGCTGAACTTAAAACTATTTTTCACAAAATTGCAAAGTAAACTATTTTTTTATCTAAGAATCGAACTAAATTGAATGATGTAATGAAATTTAATTTAGTCCAATTTAATATTATAAGTAATTATTACTCGTACATAATATTTAATTTTAATACTTATTTTATTTAAGCATTACTTTTTTTATTATTTCAAGAAATTTTGAAAAAAGTATTCTTGTAAAAAATAATTTATAGTAATTGCAAATAAAAGAGAGTATTAGAAAAATAGAAACCATGTTCATTTGAATGTTTGGCATAATGGGTTTTAAATTACCATAAGCCCATCTTGCAGAGAATTTAGGCAAAACAGAAAAGAAAATGAAAATGGAAAACTAATAAAATCTCATTTCCAAAAAATGAAAATTTTGTAAATTGGAAAACTAAAAATATGTTATCTTATGCTCCAAAAAAAAAAAACAAAAAACAAAAAACAAAAAATGTTCCCTTGAAAAACAATAGGAAAAAACCAAATTTGAACATGTTTTCCATGAAAACAGTTTTCATGGAAATTTTTTAAGAGAAATTACTTTTTTTTTTTTTTTGTTCACAAAATAAACAAACTTTGCAATAAAGATCAAAATTTGGCATTTTAAAATCTAAAAATTAAAGAACATAAATTTTGGGAAAAAAAAAGATTTCCTTCTAATGATTAATCCTGCAATTATTGGTACCTCCTTCAAGATTATTGATTGCACCACATTAAATCATATGTTCTTGCAAGGCATGTGACATAAAATATAAATGAAGATTTGTGACATAAAATCTATATTCCACTCCTCTCGATGGTCTGATCAACTTTTTGGCCTAATTTGATACAACGTATGGCACGATTTGTTTTGATGTTGAAATATTTAATTCTTGTCATTTTTAAAACTAAGGTTGTTAATACCATTTTGATAGCTATTTTGAAAACGAAATATTTCGTTGTCGAACTATTTTGGCGTTGAAAGAATGGTTTTCAGAGAATGGCTTCCAACCCAAGCGGCAGGTACTCATGCCAGGGACGAGCGATTTGGGCTCGAATCCCAACAGTCCCCTTCGCTGTCGTTCAGGATAAAAAAGAAAAAAGAATAGAAAAACATTCTGGATATACTTTTCAAAACCTTGTTAAGGATTGTTCGATTTGGGTCAAAAGTGTGTCTTTCCCAGTTGGAGCTTTTCAATCAATCTATTTTCCGGTTGTTGCTTTTTTGCTTTGAAACGATGAAACATCGAGTTAGAACGAGTACTCCTATGATTAAAAAGACAGCTTGTGTAAACTATTACACTTGAAAAATCTAACCATCGCCCAACTGAGCTGCAGTAAGTAACTTAGAATAACAAGGGAAAAAAAAGCATGCCAAGCACAACACATAGAGAAGGCAGTACATACAACCACCGTTATAAAATTATTTTGAGCAAGACCACAGATGACACACAGATGTACGACACTAAACATATAATTCGTAGTTTTATTCTAGGAAGTTGGATCAAACCCCAACCCCGACGAAGCAAACAGTTGTTCCATATTACTCGTACCCATAAAAGTATAATATCACAAAACAGCATCATAGAACATAACAAGTCTTTTGATATAAGACACTATGACCATATGCATAAAACTTCCATAATACTTCTTAATCCCCCACTGTCCAACTTCTGATGCCCAAATCATATCTAAGCACCATTTCCAACAAAAGCTCTGGAGATGTCTGGTACAGAACCGATCCATCAAGGACAGACACTATATATTATCACCAGCCAACCGATGATAGCATCAGCAGTTCTGACAGCTAGGGCAAGATGAAAGTCAATTAAATGGCGAATACACCATAGCTTTATTCCATCAACTCCTCCAAATATAAGCCCAAAACCAACAGTTAACATTCTATCTCCAACCCATGTAACCAGATAAAGGCATTAGCTTCTTAGGAATTTTGCATCATAATGATGTTTCAATTTTTGTCTTCCCCTGGCAGGAGAGCTCCGCGAAATCTGTGTCAAGAGAGAAAATCAGCATACATGCATTTAGCAATCCAGCAAAAACAAACAAGTTCCACATGGAATCTATTTGTTGATGCAGCATGGCTTTATTTAAATATCAGTGTCAGTCAACTTTGAAGGCAAAAAACATCAGTGAAAACATTCTTCTGACTCATGAGCTAGTTGAATCCTCTAATAAAAAAAGCATTAAGCTAGACTCGTCACTGTAGGCTGGGGAAGAAAGCTGACAAAGATTGTGTTGAATGCATTCCTCATATGCCTAAGGAGAAGTTTTAAGGGTAATCCTCAGATCAAATGGATGCCCCAGCTGCTGGCTTAGCTTAAGATGGAGATTTGAAGACATACATGGACATATACCAATAAATTTTTCACAATAATTACCAAAAAACAAAAAAAAAAAAATTCAGCAAACAAGCTGTTTTCCAGAATACCCAATACATGTTTTACATAGGGTATGCGAAAATTCTCAATTAAGGCTCATGAAGAGGATCAATGAACATGCACCACAGCAGGAATCAATGAGTTCATAATCTCCAAGATATCAAGGGGTTATACATAAATCATATGCAAAGAATCATGCATGTGATCAGTGACAAATACCAGCTTAACAAATTATCCTACCAGTTAATCATCAAGTGTCAACCACTGAAAAAGACATACACAATTTGCATGTATGCACGCATGAGAGAGAGAGAGAGAGAGAGAGAGAGAGAGAGAGAGGAGGGAAGCAGGGAAAGTGATGGAGATCAACAGCCAGACACTCACTTGTTCAGTAGCATGCGTCAGCAAGGAGCTACAGCCACCCATGCTCCAACAAAAACATAAATTTGAAATTTGACAAAGGCTGCAAAGTTGGAGTTCATATTTGGTAGCAAAAGGACGCAGTACATTCACCGAAGTCATTCTCGGAACCTGTATAAATGAAAAGGATATTAGATAAGGAGATTGAATGGTAGAAGTCTGGCCATAGAAAAGAATGTATTTATCTTACCATCTATGTTTTCATACTCATCTCACACTATGTAACGACCACTCCAGATGGACTTTCCATGATATTGCTCAGGCATTGCAGTAAATTGCTGATTCCCATTTATGAGTTGTTGTTGCAGCTGCTGATCTTGCTGGACTCTCAGATGTTCCAGGGCCTGGTAATTCTGCCAACCTTTCTGTTTTTCTGTCTGGAAATGCACTGGTGGTACCTGTTTTCCAGGGAAAGGAAAGCTAACTGTCCCAGTCAAGCCATTACTGCTATTAATGTACTGAGGCATTGCCTGAGAACTGATATTAGCAGCACCATTCAGCCCATAGCCTTTTGTTGATGATGGCAATTGGTAGCCATCCAACCATCTATAGTCATCTGCTAGTGAATTGTCAATCATCAAATCTGAGCCAGAAATTGGTTCAATCACTTGTTTAGGAGGAACATGACTAAAGCCTGGGGGAGGCCCAAGGTGCCTCACAGGACGGCTGACAGGGCTTTTCCTCGTGCCTGCAGATGTCTTGACAGCCAAGCTTTCAGCATTAATTCCAGAAGATGCAATAACATCAACTTTTGATGGAATCACAACTTCTGGCACCTTCATCTGATTGTAAAACTGAACAGGATCAGAATGTGTGCCAAGATAACCCATTCCCAAATCTTTTGGCAACTCATTTTCTGTTACATGTCCATTCTCCATAAACCTGACAGCTTTCAAGCTACTTGCTAGTGAAGCAGCTTCTTCCATTAACCACTTTGAGGTGTGTGGTTGAAATGGCTGCAGATGCCGGGGAGCATTAATACCAGAAGATGCAGGTATTTCAGCACCTGCATCAAAAGCAGAATGCTGTAGCATATTGAGAGGAGAAGAAACTGCACCACCATAAAGTTTCAGATCACCAGCAGATACATCTTGATTGGGTTTCATACCGTCATAAGCAGCCAATTTGGGACTAAAAACATCATTTCGCTTCTCTGTCACGGCTGGCCTGAAAACAATTACTTCATCTTCCTCATCCCCTTCCACAAAAGGCTGTGCATTAGGCTGCAAAATTCCGATATTATTTGCTTTCTCAGGCTGAATTTCTTGCATAACATCATTGGTTTTAGGCAAACCAGAATCAAAAGTCAACAAGCCATCATCTAACGTATGAGGCTCCACACCTATAACAAACTTCTTCATCCTAGAATCATAAAATATTGTTTTTTGATCTATCCTAGCAATATTTGCCAGAGCCTTCCCTGCTGCTAAAATCCTTTTTACACGAGCTGTTTTCTCCTTGCTTCCATCACTTCCAAAGGAGTGCTTCCTTGAAAAATCCAGAATGGTTTGTGCAGGAAGAATAGGTAAAAATCCCCTCAACTCAAAATCTTCCCACAAAGCGAGTCGATTTCCAGTTTCCCCTTCTTCATACTGGCTCATGTTATAAAAGCATGTATCATCTTCATTGTCATCAAGAGACACTGACCAAAATGACAAGATCTTGTTAAGGAAGGATATACAGTGGTTCCAAAAATTTAATCTGACTGCAGCCTGTTTCTCATCTGCATCACTGCCTGATGCAACATCAGGGCAACAGGCCAACCATTCGACAAAAACCAGAACACCAGGTAAGAGATAACTTGAGGAAGGATCATGCAGCTGAATGAACCGCTCTAATATGTGTCCCATTAACTCGAAAACTGCTGTAAATGCATTCTGAAGTAGCACAGCACGTTGTACGATTTCTGCATACGTCTGACCTTCAGCCTCTCTTTTCACATTGTGAACTGTGAAGATAAGGATGGAGATCAGGCGTACAATGAAAAGGGCATTTTCCACAGCATCAGTGCCAAAATTTAGCTCCTCTTCTGGCCCAGAAGAGAGAAGTTCACAGAATTCATTGCTGACCAAAGAGAGAACTTCAGCAAATGTCTCCAGGCTGGACAAAACATGACACAGTAAGAAAACAAACACAAGGAATTAGGTGAATAGTCCATTCAACGAGCTAGTATTCATAATTGCATACCTGGTGCGTGTGAAAAGGATACCATTCAGGCGGACAAAACGAATGCAAAAGGATCTATACATCTCACGAGTATCAGATATCCTTTCGCTAATAGCATTGGCTTCTGTTTTTGCATCTTTAACCGCTGCAGTTTTTGTTTCCCCTTTCCCTCTTCCCTTGCTGGTCAAGCGCACAGATGAATCCTTAACCACTGATCCTTTAGCATCACCAAGCAGTTGAGTGTAACTTTGACGATTCTGCCAAAAACCAGAAGAGGATCTAAGTCTTCGACACCATAATCTTATTTCAACAGAAGCATAATAACATCAGAAAGGTAAAAAGAGTATCATTTAACCAATTTAAACAAACAGTGCTATGGTATCCTTAAACCTTTTTGGCATTTTTCATTCAAATCCGATCGCCCAAGTCAGAGGGTACCATACTTGCAGCAAATAAAAAAAGGAAGAGGGAGAAGGAGGATAAGGCACCTTCTCAAAAGCAACAATCAAGTTATCTCTTGCTGTTGTAAAGGGATTATCGACTGCCAGACTCCTAAAATACCGATATACTGCCACCAATTCATCTCCTGAATAGGAAGCCAAAATTGCAAGCTGAGACAAGCAGAACAGTGTCAAACCTTCGATGAGCTTCTTCATCATCATCAAAATAACAAGATGAAAGCACAAAACAAAAATATCACAGCAAAAGGTACTATGACATGTAAGATATATATATATAACAATAGCATATAGTATCATTAGAGCAAACCTGATGATGAGGATTCCCACTTGATGGCCATAGAGATGCAGCTTGCAAGTAATAACTTGAAGCTGCCGCATACTCCCGTGTTTTCGAGTCACCCTCTCCATATAACCCCTTGTACCTTGCAAGGTCACCCAAGTATATTAAACAGCGGTGACATGATATCAAACCTTTCTTCATGTCAGAAGATTTTTTCCCATCTTTCTCCAAGACGACTCGATTATTTGAATCTTCAGAAAAGTATCCCAGAGGAAGCCCATACTTGGCTCTGATTTTTAAGATCAAATCATGATAAAATCCAGTTGCTTCTGACAGAAATGTTTTAAATTGAAGCCTTATCTTTGTGATACGGTCAGGTCGGGCAGGAACTTTTGCACCCTGAGATGTATTTGAGCCAGTAGAAGCCAGTGCAGAACTGAAGTGAGCTCTTAGCTCCTCAATACGCCTATAATGTAACTGCCAAAGAGCATACTCTATATTATGTTGCTCAGAAAAACCATGATCCTCCAGAACTATAGCTTCATAGTTCTCACGCATTTGTTGCCAGGCATTGGGATCTGATGGAATTCTTGCCTGAGCTGACCTCCGACGCTTATTCTCCAACTCAATATTCTAGACAAGAAACAAAGGAAAAGTGTGAGATCATAATATCCACAACAACAACAAAAAGAAAATTGCAAAGTGATGTGCAGGAGAGAGAGAGAAGAGGTGGAACAGCAGGGAGCCTCCCTTTTCAGTCAATAAAGATGTACACGAGCTGGATTTTTAGAAGGCAGAAGGAGATACCTTTTCGTAAAGCCGTTGAGCACGCTCCCGTGATGAAGGAGCAGACATTTTATCCATCTGCATAATCATCATCCATCAAATATAGTTTGACAACTTTCAAATTGCATTCATCTGCACAAAGCCAAAGCATCAACTTATAGCCAGAGATAATCAAGAAAATTTCAGATTCCAAGCAACGAAAAATTAAGAAAATAATTGAATGTGGAATTCGTGATGAAGATATTTAACAAGAGAACCGCTAAAAGAAAATTCACATATCCAATACCATTAGAAACAAGATGGAGAAGTTTTACAAGCAACACGAGAAGCAAATAACCAAAACTACAACGATCCAGATACACATTTTTTTACAAACAATATCATTTTAGAAAACACATCACATCACATCTTCAGTTTGTTAACCACATAAACTAGATCATACAATCCTTTGAAATTCACATTACTTAAGTATTGATTTACACCTTCCCATTATCAGGATGCAAAGTCCTCTGGCCAAAAACAAAAGATTAACCCGATTGTTAAAATATGATATACAATCCATTACCATAGTGTCCCAATGCAAAATCCATCAGCAATAATTTTTGACTCCTCCAACTATAATCCAAACAAATAATACCCACCAAGAAAATTTACAGCAACATCAGCCAGCCCCAACTAAAGAAAGAAAAGAGAAACCGCAACATGAATTGAAGTGGATGTACTTGCGGGCCTGTATTGTTCACCTTATAACAGATGTTTTGGTTTTTAGAACGTGTAAAAATTAATCCAAATATATGAATTCAATAAGATGCATTAGAACTAATAAATAACAACAAAGATCATACAAATTAAGAGGGAAAAAAAATCAGATATCTCAATAAACATTAAAAGGATCAAATTCAGAAGAAAACCCTCAAAAACATGCAAACACTATCTCCCAAATTCATAAAAATAAAACATTATTCCTCAAAATTTTCACAAACCCACCGCTCAGGGAAATCAACAGAAACAACAACCCAAATAACAAGGTAAAATAAAAAAAAGAGTCAACACCTCGATTTCAACCTATTCGCGATCCGGAAAGTAAAAATCATAAACAGATATCGCTTCACAATTTTTCCTTTTAATCTCCCCAATCAAACAAAGAATGAATCCCCCAAGAAATCTCAAAACCCAAAAGAAAATAATTTATTTGCAAAAAAATAACAAAAACAATAAGGAGCGACTATTATCCGATCCGGCAAGATTTCTGCATCAATCAGTTTACAGATACAAATTTCATTAAAAAACATAAAAAAAAAATACACATTCAAATGCCAAAAAAATAAATAAACAAAAAGCAAATCAAATTAAGATTAAACAGAAGAACAAAGAAACATACCTGTTGAAACAGATCTGGAGAGCTTTCGTTTTCGGGGATCAAAGCATCGGATGGTGAATTAGCGCAAGAAAGAGATTTCGAGGGTTTGTACGTTTGGTGGATGGAGAGAGGGAGGGAGAGAGAGAGAGAGAGAGAGAGAGAGAGAGATATGGGCTTTTGGTCCAATTTGAGGGATGAGGCTACAAATTCAATGCGTTTTCCTTTCTATTTCCTCTTCTTCTTTTTGATTCTCAGGCGGCTATCCGAAAGCGGCACCGTCTTGTTCCCTAATTTAGTAAATTTAAATTATTTATTTTGTTTTACTATATTTATTTGTTTGGATAATTATTATTTTATATTATATTAGTAGTTCTTTAAACGGAAAACACGCTCACGCTCAATTAAGAACAGTTTGGAACACGCTCTAATTAGCTCAATGAAGTACAGTTTGTATCACGCTCTAATCAAGGACGGACCAAACCCGAAATCCTTGCTTTATTTATTTTTATTTTTTAAAATTATTCTTCAAACCTCATATTTTTATTTTTAACCAGTCCAAGGATCACACAATACACAGGTTTTTTAAATTGGTTTAAGTGAGATGTTTTTAATAGTTTATATAAATGTAAATGCATATTAAATATATAATTTCTCCCTAAATTATTTTAATTTATGTATTATAAATTGTATTTAGTATATTTATTAAAATATTTATAATATATATGATTTCTTAAATAAAACGCATTATACTAAGTTTTTTTATTGCTCATAGTTAAAAGAATTCGGTACAAAGTTTTGACAAAATTTTTTCTCAATGTATGGATTCTGATTCCAATCAGAGAGAGAAAATATTTTTTATTTGAACTTTTTAATATAAAACTTTTTTAACATTTTCTGGATTATGAATATGTTCCAGAATTATAAAATCTGTATCAACTAATATAAATTTATAAAATTTTTTATTTTTTGAAAGTGACTCGGAAGCAAAATGGAAATTAAAAAGGAATAACTTTTGAGCAAGGTAATTGGCATATATATATCCTTATTAACATAAAGATAATTAATTGTGGATGATGATGCACCGGTACGGGCATTATGGTAATTGGTTGATCTATTTGTAACAGAAGTAGTTGAAGTAAAAGCTGATCTTTGTATTTGAGTTGTTCAAGGGCTAGGTAATACAAATAAATTTGACATTTAGAGTTTTATATTTTTACAAGTTCTTTTTATGACGTGCAATGCATATTGACTATACTCATTATATGCTCATTTTTTATACTCGTTTAACTTTTTTTATTTATACGATTGAAGTATAAATTGTTATTTAGATTGCAATATATATAGTGATTTTTATATATACAGTAAAATATTCTTTTTAATTATATATCTTGTACTCTAATATCTCATTGAAAAAAAGTTGATATTTTTGTTTAATCTCTTTAAAATAACAATTTAAATATGAAGTATATCATTTATATTCTCTTCAACATACTGATTCATATAATTTTTATTATACGCTAGTTGCTTTTATTTTTTATTAAAGTACCAAATTGATTTATAAAAATCATCATATAGCTTTTTTTACGTTTTATAATTAATTTACATATTTTATTAATAAATTTCACTATAATCTCTTTAAGTAAATAAATATACTTTAACAATAGAATAAAAAAACTAATTTAATAAATCAAATTAAATATTCTAAATAAAATGATACTTGTAACAATAGAATAAAAAAACTAAATTTAATAAATCAAATTAAATTATTTATAAAAATAATTATTTTTATTTTTATTTTTTTAGCCAATCAAAATCACTAAATTCATTTAAAAAATTTTATTATTAAAAAATTATATTTCCTTAATAAAAAAGAATAGGATTTGAATTAAAATAAGATATTAATATTTGATTAATTCAATTCAAGATATTTAAAAATAATAATTAATTTATCTTATTTTTTTGGCCAACCAAATTAGAAATGCAATTTGTAATATAAAAGAAATTTAACCAAACCCTTTTTTAAAATCAAAATCCAAAATTATACTAGATATATTTATTCAAAATAAATCTTAAAAAAATAAAAATTTTCAAATGCCCGCATATTTCTAACCATATTCATTTCAAAAAAATAATGTCGATATATAATTTACCAATAATAGTAAAATTAAAAATAAAAAAATAATTTATACACTTATTTTAATTTTTACTAACTAGTTTATATAATAATATAATGAAATAAAACACTAATTAGACTTTAATAAGTAAATAATATTTTAAAATTTTTAAAATTTTAAATGCTATAATTACTCTTATGTGTTATATTATGCTTCTTATTTAAAAAAGGTTAAAAAAAACATCCAATCAGAATTATGGAGAACTATTCTATATAGTATGTTTATGATTAAAAAATTTTAATTGGTTTAGTAAATAATGTTCATTTTTAGAGTATTCATACAATTTATCGCAATGAAGCATCTCACATATTATTAACAAATTACCTTGCTCATCTATTCTCCCTCATTCCTCACTCTTTATTAATCCTCGTATAGCATTAAAATAGAATTAGATTTATAGATTATTAAATAATTTTATTTTTATTATTTTATTTAAGCTTTAAAATAGAGGCACAGTCAAATAACTATATTATACGAATAAGTACAAATAAATATGTAATTATGATATTTAGCCTCTAACATTTTATTTAAATCTCTGAATTGAATAAATATAAAAAAACTAATATTCAGCTAAATTAAAAGATAGATTTAATTTTAATATATAGCCTCCCTTATTAAATGATTAATATTAAAATAATTAAAAATCTGTATATAGCTTAAAATTAAAAACATATATAGTAAATAAAAGAAGATTTAATTTTAATATATAGCCTTATTATATAATATTAAAATAATTAAAAATTATATAGTTAACATTAATTATCTATTAAGCATGATATTTAAAATAAAATTGAATTGGTATATAGTTAACGTTAATTATATATAATGCATAATATTTAAAATAAAATTTAATTGGTCATTATTAAAATTATTTTGGAACATTTTAAATTTTATTTAGGGTATTATCATAACGTTAATTATCTATTAAGCATAATATTTAAAATAAAATTTAATTAGTCATTAATAAGGTTATTTTATAACATTTAAAATTTCACTAAGGGCAATATAGAAAATTTCATTAATAAGGTTATTTAAAATTTCACAAACTGATTTTTCATTCACATAAGAGACAAAAATATCTTCGTTTAATATTTAAAATCATAAACTATATCCTATTATAAAGGGAACTTTATATTAGATATATTTAGTTTTATATTTTGTTATGTTGGGCCATATATTTTAAGAAGAAATTGATATAATTTAACTTTACATTTTAATATATAGTCGATTATATATGATGTACTTTAATTTTATATTTTGCAGTGAATTTTTTAAGTTATTATGAACTATTTTTTAACTTTTACATAGCTAATTTATAACATTCATTATTAAATTAATTTTATATTGTATATGAATAATATACCTTATGCTAATAGTTGAATAATAAGTTAAATTTATATGTTTGACTTTATCTTATAATGTAATATCAATTTTATTATTATGTAAAAAAACGTAATATGTAAAATGTAAAAGGTCAAATATATATATATAAAAGTACACTTATTTCAAATTATTCAAATATTTAATTTACCAAACAATTTCAATCATTCAACAATAAATTTTTAAAACCATTCCTTAATTATTCAATTCAATAAATTATTAATTCATATCCAACATTCAACCCAAATAAACGACTCCTAAGAAATAGAAGAGATAGGAGAATATAAAAAACCCTAACAAAACAAAAGGAGGTAGTGAAGGTGAATAACAAACAAAAAGAGAGTTAACACTAAAGAGAAAAATAGAGCGGCAAAACAAAATAAAATGCAGAAAAGAAGATGAAGCTTAGAGTGGAGTGAGCAAACTTAGGAAAAAAAATTGAAAATCAAACCAAGCAAAATTATTTTCAATTTTTTGTCTTTGGATTGGTTATCATAACACATTTATTTATGAGTAAAACTAAACTGTTTGGTTGAGCCAATGTATGCAAAAACAAACTAACCAGTTCGGTTTTGTTTCCAAACTTACTTCGGTTTGGTTCATTTTAAAGGGAAAGTTATTTTCGGTTTATGGTTCCAAACCAAACCACCTGTTTGCGTACTCCTACTCAAAGTAAAATTTTGAGGAAGAGAAGGAACAAAAAAATAATTGATATAAAGGAGAGGATTAAGTCTCGGATAATCAACCCAAGTTATTTTTAAAATCAATAAAAGGCATAAACAACATCTGAAACTGAGGGTATCATTATATAATCTGAATTACTATGGTTGTCTCATTTATTTGTTTATTTTGGATTTATCATCGAAAAAAGAAATTAGAGCATATTGCATGTTTAAGAGATATTATCTTTTATTTTGTTTTTTTTGTTGTTTTTTTTTTTTTTTTTTTGTCTCGGAATAATCAATACCCAAGTTATTCATTTAAAATCAATAAAGGCATTAGATCAGATAAACAACATCTGAAACTGAGGGGCTATCGATTATATAATCTGCAATTACTATGCGTTGTTCTCATTTATTTGTTTATTTTGGATTTCATCATCGCGAAAAAAGAAATTAGAGCATATTTGCATGTGTTTAAGAGCAGAGTAGTCATCTATCTTTCTGATTTTGTTCATCTTTTTCTTGGTTGCTTTTTTTTTTTTCTGTTTTTTTGCAAAGCAATTTTCAAAGACATTCTATTAATTTCCATAAAAAGTATTTAATAAACAATCATGGCAATGGTTTCTCAAACACTTGGGAGTACGAGCGCCATAAGAATAGAATGCCTTAAGCAAGAGTATGAGCACCTAATTTGCTTTAATTCTCCTAACATATAGAACCGCCACAATTTGACCTAGATGTTAATAAAGCTCGACAACTCAACACTTCAATTAGCCCAAATTCAGAGTGCATCAATGCGTAATAAAAAGCAGTTTTTTTTGTTTTTTTTTTTTTTTTTTTTGAAAGCAATTCAAAGACATTCATTAATTTCCATAAAAAGATAATAAACAATATGGAATGGTGTCTCACACTTGGAGACGAGCATAGGAATAGAATGCTTAAGCAAGAGTATGAGCACCTAATTTGCTTATCTCCTAACATATAACCGCCACATTTGACC